TTCTCTCTCTCTTTCTATCGCTCTCTCCTTCTCTTTTTTTTCTGCTATCCCTTATTTGCCCTTCTTTAAAAAATCTTGATTTTAACCCATAAACTTGTGCATGTATGTATGAATGAAGTTACATGTATATGCATTTGCATGTGGAAAAGTACATATCTACGGTATATGTGTATATGTGAAAAGATTTATATGTGATAAAATTTAAATTAAATTATTTCAAATGAAAGACTTTTAATGCATTGTTATAAACTACAAGTGGTCAGTCAACAGATACGTATATCTGTACTTAAACACAGACGGAATAATACACAAATGCACGGATACTTAATCCGGTAATATGCTTAAGCAAATAAACAGCAACATAAACATATACAACATGGCAAATATACTTTTGGGGGTAAAACATGAGACACATAAGTAAACATAAACAAGTCATTGCGTTAAATTAGGCAAAGATAAGTGCCTTATAGGGCACATGATGCAACAGACAACGATTCTTCGTTTATGTTTTCTTCCTCACCTCTTATATAGTAGCCAAAGAATATTTACTCACACATGAACATACACTCACGGATTGCAATATGCAAACGCACAATTATAGATATACTACTGCATTTTAACCTCTTCGGCGAAGAGATAAGAAAAGACGACGAGAAGATGTAAATGGTGAAGGCAGATGGCGAAGAGAAGATGTAAGAGGCAAAGGCAAGCACACAAGTATAAAAGCCAGAAGAACACATATACTTATCTACAATAACAAAGAAGAAAACAAATGGTCAGTGTAAAAGAGCTCTCAAACGTAGGGTGCAAAATTTCGATTTTCTACTGACTGCTGCTAGTGGACGGTTATATGTAAGTGCATTATGCTACGTATTATATATATATGTGTACGTACATATGTACTTATATAAATATGTATGTACCTATATAAAAAGTGTTTGTACAGTTATAAGCCAAGGATAACAACACTTTGACATTAGCAGAAGACATTAAATGCATAGTGTCAACATTGAACAAGTGCGTATAATGTTTATAAGAATAACCTAAAGTACTTAATAATTATCATTAAATTGTAGACTATGACGATAATGACGACGCTAGCAATGATGATGATATTGTAAGAGGAGCCATGAAAGCCATGGTGAGTGCTTGCTTGCTTGCTTGGTTTGCTTACATGGTAAACTTCACATATATGCATGCACGCACACGCACACGCACACACATGTAACTGCGTATATATATATATATATATATAGATGTGCGTACGTACGCAGTTATATACAATTTAACAAATATTTGTTGCTGAAAACGGCTAAAATTCTGTTAATATTTTACCAATAATCTTAACAACAATATAAACGAAGGACACTTTATACGTATGCGTAATGTTGAAAGGTTTGTTGTACTTCAAGGCTAAGCATTAACTGAAATTTGGTTGCTATTCTAATCATATGCAAACAAAGCGAATGCATGCTTACGCATATGTGCACACTTATACATATATGTGCGTATATTTATGTATTACGGACAAGTATTACGATATTTATGGTATGTGTGCAAATCAAGGAGGAAAATGAAGAGAACAAACAAGGAAATTTACTATTCCTTATGCACAGATTTTTTACTTGATTTATTATGGGTTGTGCCACACTCTCAAAGAAAAGGTTATTGGTATAATGTGAAGAGATAAAATGGACATATTCAAAAAATTTCGAGTAAAAATAAGGCAAATAATTATCGAAAACAATTTCAACAAGTAAGAAAATCATAAACGTCTCTGGCCGAATTTTCTATTCCTCTACTAACTTTGCTTTTAAGGGAATTGCAAGCAAATAAAGTGTTCATAGTCTATAACAGTAGGTGGGCGTGTCAGGCAGGGATGTTAGCAGCTCAAGTTGCAGCCGATAACTTCTCATTTTTGCGATCAGCAAAAAGTGTATCGCAGCCGTTCCACAGACGAGCAGATGGACATGCTTAAATCGATAAGGAATCTGGCGACATATATATATTTAATTATATATCTAAAAGCTTCCTTCTGGTATTGTAAACGTTTTGGCAAAATAGAAAATTAAATTAAATTTGCTGCTTATCTTTATTGATAAATAAAAAACAGTTGACACTAATGAAATTTGATATCTTTGTGCCGCGCGGTCCGAAAAATCGACTTTTTTATGATAAATTTGTAGCATCCACAAAATAATAAAGCCTTTTAATAGATACTTCCTTTACGCGCCTTAGCCGCGAGAGCTTTAAGACTCTAGTCTTAAAAGTTATATCTCTAGCTAAGTTAACTATAATAATAACGATTCTATGCATGGCGGATATATTTTATGCATATAGAGTTGCAACAAAATGCAGCGCATAAAATGCGAGTAAAACGCATAAAAAAAATAAACGAGTTGGCTTCTTCTCAACAACGAGTCAACGAGTAAAGCTTTAACACATTCATATTAGGTAAGGGGAAACGTTTAAAGTTTATTAAAGCAAATTGTAGAACCCC